TGTACCAGTCCACATTCCCAGCAGTAATGAGAGTTCCTGTGGCTTCACATCCTTGCCTGCATTTGATGTTGTCAGGGTCCTGGATTTTTATCATTCTAATAGTGGTATCTCATGATTACTTTAATTTGCAATTCTCTAATGATAAATGACACTCAGCATCTTTTCTTTTGTGTATTTGCCATCTGTATGCCTTCTTTGGTAAAGTGTCAGTTCAGATTTTTCCCCCACTTTTTTTTTTTTAATTTTTTTAACATTTATTTATTTTTGAGACAGAGAGAGACAGAGCATGAACGGGGGAGGGTCAGAGAGAGAGGGAGACACAGAATCTGAAACAGGCTCCAGGCTCTGAGCCATCAGCACAGAGACCGACGCGGGGCTTGAACTCACGAACCGCGAGATCATGACCTGAGCCGAAGTCGGACGCTTAACCGACTGAACCACCCAGGCGCCCCTTCCCCCACTTCTTAATGGGTTGTTTTCCTACTCAGGGTCTGAAAAGTTTTTTGTATATCCTGGACACCAGGGCTTTTTTTTTTTTTTATCAGAAATGTGTTTTGCAAAGATTTTTCTCCCAGTCTATGGTTTGCCTTTTCATTCTGTCTTTTGCAAGGCAGAAATCTCTAATTTTATTGAAGCCCAACTTATCAAATTTCTTTGTCTCTCACAGATTATGCTTTTGGCATTGTACTTAAAAAGTCATCACCAAACCCAAGGTTTATATTTTTATATTTTATATTATATATACATTTTTCATATATTATATATATATAATATATATATATATTTCCCCTATATTATCTTCCAACAATTTTATAGTTGTTGGTTTTATTTGGGTCTATGATGCATTCTGAGTTAATTTTCCAATGGTATGTGTTGAAAAGACTATCATTTCTCTACTGAATTGTCTTTGTGTCTTTGTCAAATATTGACCATATTTGTGTGGGTCTGTTCTGGACTATCTATTATGATACACTGATTTATATGTCTATTATTACACCAATACCTCTATATGTACTATCACTAATTTTATAGTAAGTCTTGAAGTCAATTAACATCAGTCCTCAACTTTGTTCCTCTTTGTTGTTGTTGACTATTATTTAGGGTCTTCTGCCTTTCCATGTAAACTTTAGAATTGACTTGTTGATATTCACAAAATAACTTGCTGGGATTTGGGCCAGAACTGTACTGAATCTATGCATCAAATTGGGAAGAACTGACATCTTGATAATATTCAATCTTCCTATCCACGTACATGGAATCTCTCTCCGTTTATTTAGTTAGGATTTCTTTTATCACTTCTATCATTTTCCTCATGTAGGCCCCGTACATTTTTAAATTCCATCCAAGTATTTTATTTTGGGGGGGCTGATGTAAATGACATTGCCTTTGAATTTCAAATTCCGATTATTTGTTGCTGATATATAAGAAAGCGATTGGTTTCTGTATGTTAACCTTATATCCTGCAACTTTGTTGTAATCACTTATTACTTCCAGATTTATTCTTGATTCTTGGGATATACTTTTGATTCCCTTTTACTGTCCTATTGGCATTAGCTAGGACTTCCAGGACAATATTGAAAAGGAACAGCGAGAGGGGACATCCTTGCCTTGCTCCTGACTTGGTGGTAAATCACTTAGTATGATGTTAACTGTAATTTTTTTTAGATGTTCTTTATCAAATTGAGGAGGGTCCCCTGAGTTCCTAGTTTGCAGGGAGTTTTTAATCATGAACGGTTGTTAGATTTTGTCAAATGCTTTTTCTGTATCTATTGGTAGAGTCATATGGGTTGTTGTCCTTAGTTTGCTGATGTGATGAATTACGTTAATTTATTTCCAAACATTAAATCAGCCTTGCATACCTGGAATAAATCCCACTTGGTAATGGTATATAGTTTTTATACATTATTGCATTTTATTTGCTATTTTGTTGCAGAAATTTATATATTCATGAGAGACAGCCTGCAGTTTTCCTTTCCAGGAGCGATACTAACCTGTAGTTTCCCTTTCTTGTAATGCTTTTGTTACAGTTTTTGGTATCAGGTTAAATGCTGGTCTCACAGAACGATAAGGAAGCATTCCCTCTACTTTTATCTATAGGAACTGAATGTAAAAATGTGATACAATCTCTTCCTTAGATGTTTGGTAAAATTCACTAGTAACCCATCTGAGCCTGGTGCTTTGCTTTGGAAATTAATTACTGATCTTTTAAATAGACACAGCCTTATTCAGATTGCCCATTTCTTCTCGTGTGACTGTTGACAGATTGTGTATTTCAAGGAATGGGTCCATTTCACCTACATAATCAAATCTGTGGACGTAGGGTTGCTCATAATATTCCTTCATCATCCTTTATTGTCCTTTATTCCTACTAAAAGTAGTAATAATCAGTTTTTCATTTCTGCTATTAGTAACTTTTATCTTCTCTAGTTCTTTTTAGTTAACCTAGTTTATTTTTATTGATCTTTTCAAAGAACCAGTTTTTGTCTTCTTTGATTTTCTTGCTTTTCAATTGCATTATCTCTTAAGTTTTACTATTTTTCTTTTTTTTTAATGTTTATTTCTGAGACAGAGAGAGACAGAGCATGAGCAGGGGAGGGGCAGAGAGAGAGGGAGACACAGAATCAGAAGCAGGCTCCAGGCTCCGAGCTGTCAGCACAGAGCCCGACGTGGGGCTCGAACTCACGGACTGTGAGATCATGAGTTTTGTTGCATCCCGCAAATTTTGATCACTTTTATTTTCTCTTTTTTAGTTCAAAGTATTTTACAAATTTCTTAGGCTTCTTTGATCTGTGTATTATTCAGAAAAGTGCTGTCTACTCTCCAACAAAGTGGGAGTTCTCCGGTTATGGGTCAGAAATTTTTAGGATAAGTCCACTGTGGTCTGCGAGAATATTTTTATTCCTGTTCCCTTCCATTTAAGGTGTGTTGTATGGCCCAGAACGTGGTCTATTTTGGTGATTGTTCCGTGTGAGCTTGGGGATGCGTACTCTGCTGTTGTTGCATGGAACACACTCCAAACTTCAATCAAATGCAGCTGATCCCACTGAACTCTTCAGTTCAACCATGTCCTCACTGAACTGCTGCCTGTTGGGTCTGTCCACCCAGATACAGAGATGCTGAAGTCTTCACTGTAGCCAAGGGTTTGTCTATTTATGCCTGCAGACTTATGGTTCCTGCCTCATGTATCGTGGTATTTTAGTAAGGCAGGTATACATTAAGAACTATGTCTTCTTAGAGAATCAACTCCTTTATCACATGTAATCCCTGATAACTTTTCTTGCTCTTAGGTCGGCTCCATAAGAAAATGTAGCTATTCCAGCTTTTTTAAAAATTAGTGTTAGCATGCGGAGCACCTGGGTTGCTCAGTCAGTTGGGTGTCCGACCTCGGCTCAGGTCACGATCTCACATCTCGTGAGTTTGAGCCCCGCGTCGGGCTCTGTGCTGACACCTCAGAGCCTGGAGCCTGCTTCGGATTCCTTGTCTCCCTCTCTCTCTCTCTGCCCCTCCCCCACTCGTACTCTCTCAAAAATAAACAAATATTAAAAAAATATCAGTGTTAGCATGGTGTATCTTTCTCCATGTCCTCACTTCTAACCTAGGTCTTTATATTTAAAAATTTTTTTTTCAACGTTTATTTATTTTTGGGACAGAGAGAGACAGAGCATGAACGGGGGAGGGTCAGAGAGAGAGGGAGACACAGAATCGGAAACAGGCTCCAGGCTCTGAGCCATCAGCCCAGAGCCTGACGCGGGGCTCGAACTCCCGGAGCGCGAGATCGTGACCTGGCTGAAGTCGGACGCTTAACTGACCGCGCCACCCAGGCGCCCCTAGGTCTTTATATTTAAAGGGCATTTCTTATAGACCACATACAGTGGGTTTGTCTACTCTGAAGGTGTAAGTGGAGCAGGTAGGTCAATGACATTTACAGCGATTTGTATGTTTGGGTTACTGTTTAACAGGTTGTTACTCTTACCTATTTATTGCACTTATTCTTTGTCTTCTACTCTTTTTCTGCCCTTTCCAGTTTTAATTGAATGTTGTCTATGATCTGACTTTTTACTCCTCTCTGGGCACATCAATTATACTTCATTTTTTTTTACTTTATTACGTAGTTGCCCTTAAATTCACAGTATGCATTTATAAATAACCCAAGTCCTCTTTCAAATAGCACTGTAAGACTTCAAAGGTAGTACAGATGTTTTATAACAGAGTACTCTCAATCCCTCCCTCCTGCCTCCTATAACATCACCACCATTCATGTCAGTCATGCATTTGCACCCAGTGCATCGTTCCTATTATTACTCTGAACAAACCTTAATCTGTAAGATTAAGATGTATAAAAATAACAGATTCTATTTCATCTTCACGTAACCCTTCTCTAACATTCTTCCTTTATGTAGATCTGAATTTCTGACCCCACCACTTGCGGTCTACTGATGAGCCCATTCATCATCTCTGTTACAGTTGTCTCTGACTTCTAGCATTGCCCTTCCATTCTTTCCAGGGTGTCCATCTCTCTGCTTCCAAGGCCCACCCCTAGTTCTCCCTGTGACTTCATTTTGCTGACAGACCAAACAGGGGGTGCTGGTTTTCCATTTGCTAAGCTTCTTTCTTGTACAGATCCGTGTGAAGTGTCCATGCTGCCATGGAAGCCGAAACTGTCTCCTCCACTCCATTTTACTGTTATTTCTCATTTCTCCGGGACTTACTCAATCTTCCTTTTCCAACTTAAGTTAAATCCTTATTTCTTCACTTTCCAGGATTTCATATTACCTAGTGTAAACATTTTAGGCTATCAATTTCTAGGTAACACTTTGCTGTACCCGACAAATTTTGACTATTCTTTCACCTGAACTACAATAGCCTCTTAACGTCTCCCTGCTTTCAGACAGGAACCCACCCCACTTCAACCAACCTATCCCACACTACCTGCTACACACGGACACTTCCAACATGCAAATCTGACTGTCATTTTCTGTTTAAATGACTAGGCCCAGACATCAAAAATGAGTTCGTTTTCATTAGTTTTGGACAAATAGGCCTTTATGGTCTGTCTTCAACCACATCTTCCATCTTCCAAGTCTCTCACAGCCGTGGTTCTAGCACGGCTCCGTGGGATGACACCTTCTGCTGTGGCAGTTTTCTACGCCTGCACTGCCCGGTGCAGCAGCCGCCGGTCTTAAATACGGCTGGCGAAGCGGAAGAACAGAATTTTAATTTTAATTAACTTAAATGTAAGAGGTCCCATGTGGGTACTGGCCACCACACTGTGGTGCAGCTGGACACAGCTGGGCCTGTCTTTCACGGGGAATACCGAACCAGGTATGCGGTCTGATTTAGTGCCTTCTACTCTTACTCTGCTGTGCAAAACATGTCCTGATTTTACTAAGTAATGAAAAAACTTATTTCAGACAGAATCGGATCTCAGCGTCAGGAAGCATGTTAAAATCAGTGAATTCAAGCTGACTAGAGAAGGAAGACCTTCTCCATGTAGGAAATTAAACTGTAATGTCAAGGAAGGACTCACTACGGGGTAAACACACTCTGTGGAGGCAAACACAGCGTGTTCTGTATTCTTGGCTCACCGACAGTGCACAGCAAAAGCGCAGCACGCGAAAGTGTCTGCACACGTGTTGAACGGGACACCGGCAACTGATCGCTGGAGTAAGTCAGACTGTAAACCGTCAGCAGCGCAGAGCCAGCCTCGGGAAGGGGTTCGCACGTGGAAGTCTGTAGCTCATATCCTCTCTCAAGTTTGAAAGAGGAATTTCATTTTTACCACATAGCAGTGGTTCTCAAACTCTTAGACCCAAAGGATGTTTTTTAAACTGTTAAAAAGGGGTGAAAACGTTTTAAAAGCTTTTGTTTATAGGACTGACGTCTTGATGTTTACTGTATTAGAAAGTAAACTGAAAAACTTTTTAAAATGTGAGATTTCACAATCACCATCTGCACCAACTGTCAGAACGCAGCACGTGTCCAGCAGCCTCAGGAAAATCCACGTAGGACCAGGAGGGGATGGGTGTGGACACAGCAGATCATGTGACAGTGTTACTCTGGCAACAGTCTGACCTCACAGATGTCCCTGGAGGGTGGGGGTCCCCCTGGGTCCCTGGACCTATCTCAGTCTGCTGCGCAGGAGGGAGACAGGGCTCTGTGGTGTTCCACCCGGAGTGTCGGGCCCCTGGAAGGCAACCTCTCTGGTCCAGGCACACATATGAACTGGGATGTGCTTTTTAAAGCTGTGTGTCAGCTCACCAAGAGACAAAACCATCATTTTAAACATACTATAGTAGGAAACTGTATGCTCCATGTTTATTTTAAGGTATCCTAGTTGGTCCTGGTAGGAATAGAAACAACACAAATCTTCAAGTTTTTTCTAGGACTCCTGGTTGGGGGAAAAGGGTGTAAAAAAACAGCTAAACTCCCTTTAAGCTCCAACCTAGACTTATTCAGTAAGAGTAACAGACTTCCTAATACAGAGTTTGACATTTTCTAGGTACTCAGGAAATGCCTGTTTGTTCATTCATGCATTCATTCACTTTCCAAATCAAATTTAAGTTTCCAAATAAAGTTATTTTAAAAAGAGAAAGGTACACACTACTATAAAGAATTCCAGTAGGACTTCATTACAATGGAAGACCATGGGTTTGGAAATGAAATGGAAAAGCATAGCAAGAGAGATTAAATTTGAGGCTATATGGCTGACTGGATTGAGTGTTAATTAGGGCAATTATCAATGAGATAATAGAATTACTTCTTGGTTGATGTCATTTGATCACTAAAGCATCCAAAGTACCTCTGCTGCAAACTGAGTGGTCTAAGAATTTTAGAAAACAAAATCTCCTGAGGGCCACAAAACTTTTTCTTTTGAGTCTCTTAAATCTTCCATGCTGGCTCAGGAAAAAACAAACCAGAAAATCCTGACACCTGTACACTGGCCATAGACTACAATAAGCTCTTAAAGTTTCACATCATATTTTAAAAAATGATATGTGAATATATACTGTAAGAGAAAGTAACTTACAGTGTATTAGTGAAATGTCTAAATTAAGAAAACTCATGACTAGTCTATTTTAACAACAGGAAATAGCAGAGAATAAGGTCATGAGTGAGACCATCAAATGGGCTGAATCGTGACCCACGAGCCCTCACAAGCACTCCTCCAGGGTGGCCACGAGACACTGGGGAGGTGCTCTGTGTGGGTCATAGGAGATGACAGTCCTGATGAAACCCCGCTGAGATTCACAAGCACATGCAAAGAACTTCTGGATAGGTTTCCCCTATACGTAAATTAAGCAGTTATTATTTATTCAAAATTGACAGTAGTATGAATTTTAAAAAATTAGAAGTCTATAAGGAATAACATTTTCATAGTATTCTTTACACAGTGAACAGCAGGACAAATCCCACCATCTTTAACTTACAAAAACCTTAATCCTCTAAAGAGGAACTGGAGACCATCACCCACACAGCTGGAGGGCACCAGTCACCAGGAATTCCCACCTCACGTGCCCCCCATGCTGACCCAGCCTCAAGGTCCTGTTGCTGTCACCTTCTAAACAGATGTCAGATCTCACTGGCATGGATGCCTCTCCTAAACGTGCATCAATCTCAGAGTTTTTCCAATTCCTCTACGTGCAATCCATAGGCCATAAAGCTGCGAAAGTCTTTCCCAAACCCTAAATCCTCTCCTCTTATGCCTTTGCATAAAATCTTCAAGGAGTACCCTGTCATCTTCAATATAACGTCTAAGTTCTCAGGCACAGTACACAACAGATCTCAAAATCTGGCCATCCCACCTTCTTGCTTTTCCCCAAATGTGCTATGCTCCTTCACCTTCCTTCCTTCCAGAACTATCAACTAGGCACCATTTTCAATGCTTGCCATACATGAATAAACAAGAAAGACCCTGGTCTTTGTGAGCCTTACATTCCCACGGTAGACAGACAGGTGGATAAATTGGTACACGGATTACTAACATAGGTAGCAAAATGACAGATAGATGGACAGACGACAGGCAGGTAGGCAGGAAGACAGATGGCTGATAGTGCTGGGGTTGGTAACTCAATGGACACACATAAAATCAGGAGGGGAAGGGTAGGGACTACACACAAGGTGATACCGTGTCTTACCATTTTAACAGGCTGGTCAGGGAATGCCTCACAAAAGCAGTAACCCTTGAGCACAGATCTGATGGAAAGGTAACAAGCAATGTATATACATGAGAGAACATTCTAGGCAGCAGGAGCAGGGAGCGAAAGGCCCCATAGCAATCAGGTGCTCAAGAAACATCCAGAAGCCAGCAGAGCTGTGGGAGGAGGATGATATGAAAGACCAGGGAATAACGGGAACCCAGACCACACAGACGGTAGATGCGAGTCTTACTCTCAGACCGACGGAAGCTACAGGAGTACAGAGCAGAGGAGTGTCACCAGCTAACACTGGGTCACTGGTCCAGCTCTTCCCTTGGACTGTGAGCTCCTTTGCCCAAAGCAGGCTGAGCTCTGAGCTCATCCCCGAGTCTGGGTTCTAACTGGAAAGGGCAGACACCAAGCACAACAGGTGTTACACCACCTCATGGGGATGCTGTCTGATGTGAGCAGAGATTCCGAAGGAGGGCTCCAGGTGGCCCGGATGGAGACAGGTGCAATTTCCTCCACTACCACCCTCCACCCACGCTTCCCTCCCACATCTACTCCACTCTCCCTACACAGGCTCATGGAAATGCACCTGAGGCCAAGGCAGCTCCAGCACCGTTTCCTACTTTGTCAACCTCTCTCAACGACAGAGGTTTTCTTTTCTCTTTGAAAAGAAAAACAATGAGGCAAGCAGCACCTCTCCTGTCTCCTACAATAGCCAGGAGGATTAGCAAAATATACCTTAGCAAATGCCAGGTAAACTTAGGGTTATCCTCCCCACCCCTCCTCATTAGGAAACAGAGGTAACACAGGAAATAGACTGTGCTATGTCTTAATTTCCAATTAAAAAAAAATTTAACACAGAAAGTTAGAGCCTGGAGAACACGACAAGCTGCAGTCTTCTATGTGGTAAGAAGCCAGATAACAGACCAGACAAAGCTAGACTTGCACCGTTTTGATGAGCTATTCACTGGGCTATCGTTAACAATCACATACCTCCCTGAACTTCTAGTTTCTCATCTAGAAGATGGAAAAAAGAACACTTAACTAGTCTCTGTGAGAACTGAAGATACCGGTGATAGTAAACGTGTGTCTACATGTACATGTCTACACATCCGCATGTGTCTGTGCGTGTCGGTGTCCACGTGTGTCTACATGTGTGTGTCTGTGTACAGATCTACACATGTGCCTACACGTGTGTCTATGGGTCTACATATGCACCTGTGTGTCTGTATCTGCGTGTGTACCTATGTGGTTACGTTTGTGGGTCTACATGTGTGCTGCGTACCTATGTGTCTACATGCGTCTGTGTTTACACGTGTATCTACATATGTATTTACTTTGTGGGGTTATATGTACATTGGTGTATGAGTGTGTGTCTATGTATGTACCTGTGTCCACTGTACGTACGTGTGACTTTGTATGCATCTATATGTGTCAGTACTTGTGTGTCTACTGTATATGTGACTGTGTCTACGTGGGTGTCTATACCTGTGAGTCTCCCCTATATGTGACTATGTTTATGTTTATGTGAACCTACTTGTGTTTACTGTACGCATGACTTGTACCGTATTGTATACACACGTACAATACTAACATAGTAGCATTAAGACAGTGAGGTAGCTGAAGCATTTCACAGAAAGCTGACGGCCCGTGTGTGCCTGCCTCCACCCTCCTGGCTATCTGAAAGAGGCCTGGGACACCAGAATGAGGATGGGTTCCTGACACATGCTGGCTGTTCACACATCTCTGGAAAACAGAAGGTGGGGTTGAGAACCAGCTCCCGCTTCATTCCATCCCCACACTGTCCCCACATCCAGGCGTCCTGGGGGTGTGTGGCAAAGGGGCGGCCCTCAGCATTGGCTGCCTTTCAAGCCCACTCTTCTTCCGCAGATGATGACCAGTGATACCCTAAGATCTGCCCTACCTCTTCCTCCCTCCTGGGAAGGAGTACAGCCAAGATGTCAGGGAGACAGCTCTGTACAGGAAAGGGTGGGGGGTGAGGGTTCGTTCTGTCACCCCCACTACTGGGAGGAGGCGTGAAACAGAACCGAGAGCCTTATGTGGTCGACCAGCCCAGCCCTGGGGTGAACTGCCCGAGCTGCCTCGTGCCGTATCCTCGGATTCCTTGTCTGCAACATGAAGGCGCAATAAGTAAGTCACCTGTTGGTTATAAAAACCACAGGAGACAGAGCCTGTGAAAGCGCTCTGCTAAATAGAAAGTAAAACAGAAACATGATCTTTTAACTGCTGTCATTAGCAATCCACATGTGGCCTGAATAATGACACTTACTGACAATTTTCCTTAAAAACTGTAGTGAGGGAAGCAGGAAAAAGCAACTGGAGTGTAGGTGTCAGGAAAAAAATCTCTCAAAACATAATTAAAAAATTCATCACTGTGCAAGTTTCCTGATGCTAAATTAATGAAAGAAATGCAAGCCAGCCAAACCCAGGTGATGGCTCCAACAGAACGGAATTGCTAAGACACAGCACCATAAAACACAAAAGAAGTAACAGAGAACATAGAAAAGTTTAAGAATTTTCTTTTTTGAAAACTACTTTTTTGAAAACCAATCCTGAGGTTAAAATGAAAAATTATACTAGGAACCAAGATAATAAAAACCAAACTGCAAAATTTGTCTCCCGGGAGATTACTGTTCAATTGTCACTAATTTCTAAATAGCAGACAGTATCTATAAGAATGTGAAAAAAGTCACTGTTTACTGAGCTTTAATGTGTACCCCCGAGGGTATATTTGTTTATGAGGTAGAATGTCACCAGCTATGATCACACAACCAACCAAAGGACATTCAAACACACCGCACCTCTGCCTCATCACCACACAGCTGCTGCAGACATGCACCCACCCACCCATCCATTTCAGCATCACATCACAGACTAGGGGGTCAGTGACCTCACGGCCGCATGGTGCCTTACCCGACCGATAGCGCTCATCTCGTGACCCTGAGGACCTTCGGCGGTGATAGCGAGTGGAAGAGGCAGGAGTGACTGGAGCCCGGCGCTCAGGAGGCAAAGCTTGATCCACCCCTGGGTTAAGGGAAACAGTAAAGTAAGATAAGGCTTTACTTGGCAGCCAAAGTTCATCCACTTTGCAGAGTAAATCATTCAGAAGAATAAAGCCCTGACTCACTGCATGCCTACAGCCAAGCTAGAGCTCACAAGGGCATGGCCGGGGTGGGGAAGGTTGGGGACACGGACAGGAAAGGGAGAAGCGTCCTGGGCAGGGGCAGGCTCATACCCCGACACTACAGCCTTCAGACACCAGCACAGCCTCCCTTACAGCACAAATGTCTATTAGGTCATGTGAAGAGACTCAAGTCTCTAGAACATGGGTAAGAAAACTAGAGCCCAACAAATCAAGTTGTGATTTTCTTTATGTAAGACACATACAGGAAGGGTTACATTAATTCTCAAGGAAATTTAAAATCACATTTATCATTAAGTTACCTATGAAATAAATTTTATAGGGTATCAACACCACAATTCAGGTACCAGGATTGAGCATAAAGTTTCATCTTTGCTCATTCAAAATTTCTAACTCTGAAACCTTATTCCATTTGATGTGAATAGCTGAAAATTTTTTATTTCAATATGGCTTTGATGAATTACCTAAAATGATAAAATGGTCAGATAAAAACGACTTGATAGGGATCTGTCAAAAGCTGACCTAAATCTGGCGACCATGATACCTGTTGGACTTCGGAACTAGAGCAGCAAGAAGCACAGTCTAGATAAAACTAAGTAAGTTGACGGGAAATATTTCATCATTACAGTTCAGAAGTAAAGACATTCTGAGCACTGCGCAAACAGTAATTGTTGCTTCTTCAGAAAAGGACCAGGCAAAACCTGGCAGAGAAAGTAAACCAGAGACAGCAGCTTTATCAGAAACTATTTATGGTTTTCCACGATGGCTCCGCGAGAGTTATTTCCATCAGGGATTTAATACTTCTCTCACGCTGGTGATTTCTGCACCCCAATTCTTTTTTCTTGAAGTAGGATCTACACCCAATGTGAGTCTTGAACTCACAACCCTGATATCAAGACTTGCACACCCCTCTGCACCTTAATTCCTGGTGGCATGTTTGTGGTAGATGACAGGTTAGGTTAACCTCACTACGGACTAACTGTACTCGGTGAACTGCGTAAGCACCCCAGCCCACAGTCGCCTGGTGAGGTTCTGTGAGCTCCTCGTCTAGCAGGCGTATTGACACTTCTTGACGACACAACAATTCACAGCTACCAAACCTCATCCAGTTGTAGTCTACAAATCATCTTTCTAAAAAAGCTACTCTGGATTCTCATTAAAGAGATACACAGAATTTATGACATCAAGGAGTACTATTAAGTCATAATGAAAATTGGTCACTTAGCATTTACATCCATATTTATAAGCATGGTTTTAACAATCCCTCTTAATTACCCATTTTAGACAATACATGACTTCTTCACACCAGTGTAGCCGTCACTACACCATTATTAGGATCATGAGTCAGTAGTGTGCTGCAAATACCCTTCTAATCTTACGTGCTTTTATTATTTGCGGTTAATATCTATCTTTGGGCTCCATCATCTTGGTTTTCAATGTACTTGTTAAATCCTTCAAAATATCCCAACAGAAATGAAAAAATCTTTCCAATGCATTCCTCACTGAGGGCAATCACTGATAACCTGGTAACAGTCTTAGTTTGATTTTCTTTTTCCTTAGAGACCCTCCTGGTGGATCCCCTCCTGTTCTAACCCCAGCTGGCTGGTCCACACCTGCTGTATAACCACCAGGGAGCACTCCTGCCTCCCAGAACTTGCTTTCGCCTAGAAGACTAAGCAAGATCATGTATAAATTTGAAATCTTGAAAACGTGTATAAATAGATTTACTTAAAAGTTACGTGGGAGCGCCTGGGTGGCTCAGTCGGTTAAGCCTCCAACTTCAGCTCAGGTCATGATCTTGTGGTTCTTGAATTCAAGCCCCACATCAGGCTCTGTGCTGACAGCTGAGAGTCTGGAGCCTGCTTCAGATTCCTTGTCTCCCTCTCTCTCTGCCTCTCCAACCCCCTTCCCCCCGGCCCGCTCACATTCTCTCTCTCTCTCTCTCTCTCTCTCTCTCTCAAAAAATTAAAAAAAAAAAGTTAAGTTATATGCATTATTACCTCTCAAGTGTTGTTCTTAGTTACATGCCATTCTGATGGTATATTCTTTATAAAAAATCTGTTTTTTTCTTTTCTCCTCTACTTCCACAACTTTTTCTTTCCTGCCACCAAAGGAGTTGCAAGCCTGTGTCTTCTGTGGTGAGGTTATCACCGTATCTACCTGCAGCAGATCTTTTATCTGAGCTGTTCCATTTACCCAAAGAACAGCCCTCCCCAGTCCCCCGTCTTGTGAGACACCTGTCAACACAAAAGCATTTGTCATTTGGGGCTGAAGCTGTTCTCACCCTCCAGGGCACATGCTCCAGTTCAGCACTGCCTGGTACGCCAACTCCAGAGGTTCTCAGTTCCATTTCTCCAGAGAACGAACATCTCTGGGGGAGTGGGGAAGACGTGGACCACCTGGTTCCAAGGCGCTAAGCCTACCCCCTCCCTCCCTCATGGTGCCCATGAAACCAGCGCCGTCACTTGTCACTTCCTCCCCCCTGCTAAACTTGGCACCCGCGTCATCAACCCCAGAGATCATAAAACCCTGTCATGGACTCTCCCACTCTTTCGTCCTGTGGATGACACTTCATCCGTTTACAGACATCTCAGTGCAGTTTCCAGGAAGCAGAGCTAAATGTGCATATTCAAGCCGCTGAGGTCAAACAGTGCCTGATTTATGCATATATCCAAGTCTGGCATTCAATTTCAGCCATGCCACAGACCTAGTGCATTCAAACACGCTTCCTGGAATTAACTTTCACCCCGCTCGGGTCCCCAGGTGGCCACGTACTTCTGGGAAATGCAGTCACGGGACACAGACCAGTGCCCGCCTGTCCACAGAGGTGCACATCTGTCTTCAACCAATTTCGCATGCAAACACTGTGCACGTTTACAGGTTTCACAGGCTGAAGTTCACAGCTTACAAGTTTTAAGAGGAATGAGTTATTTTGATAAAAGAAAAACAGCTTCAACAGGTCACTGGCAACAGAGCATTTAAAACAAACTAAAATATTAGCGTAGCATGTGCATACCCACCATTAATTTTAATCTGACCTCACTGCGAATGAAATCTGAAGTACCGTCAAGGTATGTTCTGATGGGAAGAAGCCATCAGTCAAATCTGCAACTGAAATCAGAATTTCCAACGTGTCACCACAGGAGGACCCAGAGGTAGTAACTGAGGGTCCTTCCTGTTGAATTCCATAAAGTGAGTACACGAATCATTACTCAAACACACAGAGCTCAGCACACAGCTAGCCGAGGGCCCATGTTCACACCACAACTGGAAACCAGCTCTCAGGAAAAGCACAGACCAACCAGAGTGCCTACAACAGGATGCGAGAGTCGGATCTGAGAGACATCACTGGAAGGTGAGCCGTCTCATGGGAGGTGGGGTAACCCTCCAGAAACACACAAATCTCAGGGGGTAAAATGAAAACATGACAGGGATGGAGAGGAGCTATCTCCCGGGCACTTACTAAGCATCAGGTCCCATGTGAACTGAGGGAAAGAGCACCAGAGACAACATCCTCTCGGATACCCATCACTGTGACCCTGGGCCTCAGTTTCCCATCTGTACACAGCCACGACACTTTCAAGTAGCACATGAATGTTCTCATGTGCTTCTCTTGAGATGGGTGCCTCCCCACACCAGGGATCTCGCTCTCTCTCTCTCTTCCTCTCGAGATCCACCCCGCCAGCACACCAGGCTCACAACAACGCGCTGGTGGCTGGGTCCTCGTGGCAGAGGCCGTGTGCTGCTTGGTGCTGCACTCTTGATACAATGGCCATTTGTCACATGGCTGAATCTAGCTGGTACCTTGAAGCCACCAAGAAGTGCCTTCATGATCTCACTGCCAGACTACTCGTCCACCAGTGATCTTCTCAGGACACAGTGTTGCCCAGGAGTTAAATCCAGGCCGCTGAGAGCTATGAGGTCATCTGACAACAATGCGGTCTTCGTCTTCTTACTCAGGAGGCTGCGGTCAGGAGCTAGGATGTCTGTGGGCTCCTCTCCTCCCTGGGCCGAATGGCCCCTGGCCCGCAGGAGGGGCTCAGTGATGTTCCTTAACCAACATGGGATGTTTTCACAGCACGTGCGGGTCCTCGCAAGGCTCCTGCAAGGCTTCAGTTCAGCCATGACCATGAGATTTCGGTTTTCCTCGAGAGTTGCAAAGGGACGCCAAGTACGACTCATCAGAGGAAGGAACCCTAGTAGCCTAAGGGGGGGAGGAGAGGGGCGGCCAGGATGGGAGAGAGGGACCCGGCCTCCAGGCCCCTGACCTTCAGCCACGCCACTTCCAACACATGATGAACAAAGGAAAGGACTCACTGAAGAAAATTCTTGACAACGCAGTTCTGTCACGCCAACAACCCACCAATTCCAGACCCTCAAATACACGCAGGGAATTCATCATCACTACAGGCAACCAGACACCAGAAACCACAACAATCCCCACGGTAACCCGGAAATATGGCCATCGGGGCTCCAGCACTCTGACGCACCATGTGCCACGAGCCAGGAGACCTGTGGTATAGACAACACGGGGTCATTCAGGATGGCAAATGTTCCAGAAAACATCAAGACTTTTCCAGACAGCAAGGGAAAGAAGACACTGATAAATCTTGGTTTTCAACATATTTTCAAAAGAAATCACGAAAGATACACAGAAGAGGACTTGAAGAAAAACGTATATGGGAGTCAAAACCAGAAGACCTTGATCCAGACTCTGGTCTGACTCTTACCACATGCACAACTGGACAAATCCCTCA